CACCACCACCACCTTCTCCCAACAACATTCCATTCTTCCATGAATATCCAGAAGGGCCACCGTCGAATCAGAATCAAGCAGCACCGGTAATATCATCATCAAACGCTTCACCGGCGAATCCAACGGCAACACAACCAGCAAAAGGAACCAAAAAAGTAGCCATTGTGATCTCTGTTGGAATTGTGACGCTTGGAATGTTGTCGGCGTTGGCTTTCTTTTTATACAAACACAGAGCAAAGCACCCTGCGGATACACAGAAGCTAGTGTGTGATAACACACAGAGGAACAATGATTCAAATTCAGCTCCTCCAGTACCGTCGAGTTTTCTCTATATCGGAACAGTGGAACCTTCCAGAAGGTCAACTACGGTCAACGATCCCAGAGAAACAGAGAAGCCTAACCGTTCACCGTATCATAAACTGAATTCCGTTAAGCGATCCGATCGGTATCGACCGAGTCCTGAATTGCAGCCAATGCCGCCGCTGAGTAAACCTCCTGTAGTCGGAAATATCCCGCCGGTGATGTCTTCGTCTTCTTCCGATGAGGAAAGTAACGCCACAGCGTTTCATTCGCCGCAGAACTCGTCGGTAAGTCAGGAAGACGGGTTTTACACGCCGGTTACACGCCTCTTTAACGGTAGTTCGGTGAAGAAAGAGAATCATTCGACGGTTACGCCTCTTCCGTTATCAAAAAGAACTTCACCGAAATCTCGTCTTTCTGCTGCGTCGCCGGATATCCGGCACGTTATCATACCGTCTATCAAACAGACTCCGAATCCGCCACGTCAGCTACCGGAAAAACAGTTAACTACCGGAGGAGGCCATTCAAGGAGACCAAAATTCTCAGCGCCACCGCCACCTCCGAATTTGGCGCATCTTCAATCAACAACTAATACATTTTCACTTAAACCTCTATCTGCTCCTGCTCCTCCACCGCCACCGCCACCTCCACCTGCTCCTCCACCACCCCCTCCACCACCACCAATGATTCGAAAATCATTATCGCCGCAGAAGGTTTCAGGATCTTCTTCATCTATAAAGAGGTTAAGTGTAGGAGATGATTCAGCTCTTAGTGTAACAAAAGGTTCAGACTCTGTTTCAGATCATGTTGATAATGATGAGAGTGTGAGATCTTCTTCCGATAGGTTTGAAGGTGAAGCCAATGAAACGGAAAGTGGAAAACCGAAATTGAAAGCTTTGCATTGGGATAAAGTTCGAGCTACTTCAGACCGTGCTACTGTATGGGACCAAATAAAATCAAGTTCATTTCAGTAAGTATATTTAATATCGTGTTCGAGGTATCCGTGTTTCATAGCTCGGTTTCGTTTTTGGGATTGTAGTAGTTGTTCAATTCAAGTACAATTGTGAATTAATATTACTCATTTGTTTGTGGTGTTTGTTGTTGTTTTGTGGTGTTTTTTAATATTTATAGATTAAATGAGGATATGATGGAGTCCTTGTTTGGCTGCAACAATGCAACCAATTCTGCTCCGAAACCGAAAGAACAAGGTGTCAGAAAATCGGTTCTTCCGTCTGCTGATCATGAGAACAAGGTGTTAGATCCTAAGAAGTCACAGAACATAGCTATACTTCTAAGGGCATTGAATGTGACAAGAGATGAGGTTTCTGAGGCTCTTTTAGATGGTAAGTTGTTTCTTTCTTCCATTCTTTCTTTCCCTTTTTGGAGTATATACTTACTTGCATGGTAGATGAGAAAACTTTCGAGTCACATTTTCTAATTTCGGTAAAACATACCAATTGAGTGATTCTAGGTTTTGTTGTGTATTTGTGGTGCCTTGTCTACAATGTTGATTCACATAGGCATAGATTTAACTTTTACAATATTTAACTATCAATTCAGTTATGTATGTAGTATGGAAAATTTGTAGAGAAGCATGGCTCAACAGCATGAAAACAAAAAGTCTTCATCACTGCATGTGTAATGTAGCATGCTAACATCCACGTGCATCATTATTTAATTTAAAGGGAGGTGCAAATTTAGGTGTTCTTGTCCTGGGATTTCAAAATGTGGTAAAAATCAAATCCAACTCATACAATGTACTTGAGAAGAATATAAACAAGGACATCTTAATTGATAAACATCTCTAACTCACAAGCTGTTTTTGTCTTCTTTTACCGAAAGAATTTTTGTCATTAAACTAGTTACTGCAATTGCCACCAAAATCAACTACCATGTGTTCTTAAACAACTTAAATTTGTCTTTTTGTTCTATCGGTCGGTGCTTCCTCTAAAAGCAATTGCATTCTAGTTTAGTGATTGATCTAAGGTGATATGCCCAAATCATTCTCTATGCTTTCTCTATAAATGTCTAAAAGAAAATAAACTTTAAATTGTGCGAATGCCAAAAATTAATTAATTGAAACAGTAATAAATGTCTAATATATGTCAAACTAGTCGGATACCCGTGCATACGCATGGGTCGCAGCATTGCCGCTCTTATTTCTCAGTAACATCTCGATATTAATCATTAACATGGACTTATGGGTGGTGTATTTTTTTAATGGAATAGGGAATCCTGAAGGTTTGGGTGCTGAGCTATTTGAAACCCTAGTAAAGATGGCTCCTACTAAAGAGGAAGAGATAAAACTGAAAAACTTCAACGGCGATCTCTCGAAACTTGGATCTGCAGAGAGATTTCTTAAAGCAGTGCTTGATATCCCTTTTGCCTTCAAAAGAGTTGAAGCTATGCTATACAGAGCCAATTTTGATTCAGAAATCAACTACCTCAAGAAGTCTTTCCAAACCCTTGAGGTATGGCTAACTTTCAACAACTTGTTATCTTTGATTTCTTGATGTCTTTTGACAAACTAACCATTAATTTGTTATTGCCTATCTGTCAGGCGGCAAGTGAGGAACTAAGGAACAGTCGATTATTCTTCAAACTCCTTGAAGCTGTTCTCAGGACAGGAAACAGAATGAATGTCGGCACTAATCGAGGTGACGCTAAAGCTTTCAAACTCGACACACTCCTAAAACTCGCAGATATAAAGGGAACAGATGGAAAAACCACGTTACTTCACTTTGTTGTCCAAGAGATCATTAGATCTGAAGGGGCAGAAACTGAATCTGCTAACGGAACTATTCCCGAACAAATGGAGTCCAAATTTAACGAGGAGCAGTTTAAGAAAAAAGGATTGCATGTTGTGGCTGGTCTCAGTAAAGACCTTGATAGTGTCAAAAAAGCAGCAGGAATGGACTCAGATGTCTTAAGCGGCTACGTTACAAAGCTTGAAACGGGGCTTGAAAAAGTTCGGCTCGTTTTGCAATATGAAAAACCAGATATGAAAGGCAAATTCTTTAATTCCACGAAACTCTTTTTGAAATATGCAGAAGATGAAATTGTGAAAATTAAGGCTCATGAGAGAGAGGCTTTATTCCTTGTGAAAGAAGTTACCGAATACTTTCATGGGAATGCAGCAAAGGAAGAAGCACACCCTTTAAGAATTTTCATGATTGTTAGAGATTTCCTTAACATTTTGGATTTGGTTTGCAAAGAAGTAGGAAAGATGCATGATAGAATTGTCGGTGGCGCTTCAAGATCCTTCAGAATAGCTTCAAATGCACCATTACCAGTTCTTAACAGGTACAATGGGAAACAAGATAGAAGCTCGGATGAGGAAAGCTCATCATCCCCTTAGTATTGTGAATACAAAAAGAAACAATAGCCTCTCAAAATAACAGTGAAAGTAAATGAATGACTTTGCAAATTTAAATTCTCATGGGAGAACAGTGAAGGATAATTTTCAATGAGATAAAACATCAAACATGTTAAATGCATGTTCATCGTGGGGAAGAGAAAGGAGCATACCGTTGAAACCATTTCTACATCTACTCAAATGGTGCTACAAAGGTTCATGCCAATGCCACTATCCTCATTCAAATGGGAAGTGCAAGAAATGCATCATTTCGTTTCTTCCACTGAAATACGTATGCTACAAGTCAAAATATAGGGGCTATTAGATTAGAGACATAGTTCAACACATTTTAATGATGTGAATGTTTTGATTTACGTAAGAGGCTCTGTATGTAATTTTTTAAACATCAAATACTGATATAATAAATAGCTGTTTTGCAGCAATTTCTTCATATGTACCTATATTTTAAGGTTTATACTAGTACATTAGATTTCGTGATTAAGGTTTATACTAGTACTTTAGATTTCGAGATAAATTTTCTGTTTATTTTTCCTTACTATGGCAAAGAAATCACTTCAATCAACAAAATAAACCCCTTCCTATTTCCAAGCACTAGACTAGCTTTTAACCTTTAATTCTACCCCCAATAATTGTATCAAGGAGGAGATTATCAATTCCTTACACTGGTGATTCAAGGAAAAGAACAAAAGGGGTTTCGAAAGTAAACATTAAGAAGGAAAAGATAAGATACTTATGTTGAATAAAGGGAGTGATGGATACTTTAGTAGTGAACTAGCTGTAAATCACCACTGTATCACTATCCAATGGTTTTGCTAGTCGCTACTTTTTCTTTTCCTTTTTGAGTTGCTCCTTTATAAAGAATCAAATTCTTCACCACATGGACCAACTGTCATTGATATTCATAGTATCAATTAAGAAAGGTTTTTGATTTCAATAGAATGAGATCACTCATTCTTTAAAGAACTGTTAAATGGAGTCACAAAATTGACAGAATAAGGTGTTAAGATAATAGCAAATCAGAATAGCTTGAATGAGGTTGATATTGATATTTCTAGTTTAAAATTGAAATGTCGTATAAAGGTCCAAAATCAATCTAAAATGTTGATTTGGCCATGCAGTTCATTTAACAAATAAGATAATAAAGCAAGGTGGGAAGAAAGGATTCCTCTGCGATATATTTTTTACAATAAAGGTAGAGAGGAGTAATACTTCATCCTTAAGGGACATTTCATACATACATAATACATTCATAAACTTTACAATTTGAACAAGTTTTTATATATCAACTGCTATACTCTATAGTTCTATATTCCCGGAAAACCGGTCATAGTGGCCGAAAGCATGGTGCAATTCCAATTCCTCTCGTTTTCAAGATCTTTTCAACCAATATTGTCCATCTAATTTCATCTTTCTTGCTTTGTTTTTCTAGTCTCTGTCTAAAGTTCCTGAAATGAAAGAATTTGTTATAATTCATCTGAATGATTGAGCTGACTTAAGCACAACATTGGATAAAATTGTTACCTGCAGAGAGGCACTCTACATGAATTTGGATCAGCGCAGAGTCGAGAATGCAGCTCCAACAGTTGCCACATCCGTTTGCAATGGGCACAACCTCCTGGGGCTCTCAATTTGCAACCAGCAAAATGGCGAACTAGCAGTTCTAGCCCTTTGCAAGATGTATACCTACACGGTTGTTGGTTTGCTTTGAAGTCTTTATCGTGAGGGCCAATAGTTCGACAACCATCTCTACATATGTGAACAAGAGCTTCCATTGCATCGTATAATTGCAGATAGACCTCTTTTTCATTCATTTTTCTGATCCTCTCCTTCTTACTCTGATTAACAGGTTCATTAAAAAAAACCAATTAGATCGTGGCCTAATTATCGATTATGTATAATACACAAAATGAGAGGCAGAGACAGAGTCTTACATTTTCTTCTTCGATCATTGATTCCAGCAGTTCCTTTTCTAGAATCGGGTGGCTCTGCTTCATTGCTTTCCATCCTTCTGACTCCGAAACAGTTTTGAAGTTTCTTAGTATTTTACGATGACAAATGAGACTGAGCCGCGGTGCATCACACAGTAATGCAAGTTGAAATACATCCACTACATTATCTATGGTGAGCAAACCTATTTCTAGCTTCTGTTCACATTCACGCTTCAAGTGAGGGACTGCGTATACATGTGACAGCACCAACAAATGTAGGACAAATTCCTTCATTTCTTCATTCTCGTAACTATAAAAAAGGGCACACAAAATTCAGCACATTTCTATGATGCAAAATACATTTCAGCGGCAGCAACAAAAACGCAATCAGAAAAGGATTGCTTTAACATTTGCATTTGTTTCAGGTTCACATTTCTACTACTTTGAAATTGATATACTTGGGATTTGCTGATGTAATTAGCCAGGAACTCTCCGCAACCAATTGATATTGTTTTACATTTGCCTATCGGCAACGAGTGGAAGTATTTCAATATTTAATCATGCAATGGCATCTAATTTGAGCAAATATAATTTCAGATAATATTATGAAGCCTGACCCTACAGTACAGGGGGACAAAACTTTTTGATAATTTTGAGATTCACAAGGGGATTGAACATACCAGGAAGAATACAAGTATCGAATAAAAACTCGTACTGCATCATGTGGAACCCCAAAAATTGAGATTGATCGCCATCGATTGGAACGATTTGCTTGCTTCAGCATACCTCCCAATACAGGAGAAGCCACCGCCTGTCATATAGTATAAAGTGACTGTTATTCACACCAGTTGAACTCAAGATAACATAAAGATCATTCATGTTAATGTAATGAAACAATATCAGTATTCCATGATGACAGCAGATCATACTACAGTAGTACCATACTAACCATGTCTACTCTAGTTGTTATCTGTATATTAATCAACTCTTAAGCAATGACACATGCGACCTAAAAACTAACTAGTTTTGTAACCGTACCTGCTAAGCCTATGAAAACCTTGTGTCTACTACTAATTGTTCAAAGAAGTATGAGCACAGTTCACAAAAAACATGTTTAACAATGAAATTTTGACATAACTCCTCAGTAATGCATATGCTAAATCAAGTGGGATGAATGGACTTACAATAATGTTAGAATGAGCATAAATAATGCCACCGTTATCAGTATTAATGTGAACATCGGCTTTATAACCTTGATTGAAAAGACGCTCCCACAAATCTCTTGTTGCAGTTGGGACACAGCTGCTTCGCCCTCTGGGTGCTAAATTATTCATCACCACATACTCGCAAGGATAACCTGTTGCTGCTGATTGTGGCGAAGGAGGGGGTATGGGAATGGATTTCTTAGGACTCAGTGATTTGCCATCCATGTTAGCCATCAGTTTATTCTTCACTGCTCTGCATAAACATACAAATCATCAACTCTTTTTGTAATATTTATATAGATAAATAAGGATAAGATCTATTTTTCTTCTTTCTATATAGATAAATAAGGATAAGATGTATTGAATTAAAATAATTTGAGAAGATTATAAAATCTCATGTTTCAAATATTTCCCTTCATTGTATTATTATTTAGATAAGCCATTACACATAGCTTTGGATAAGATTGGTAAATTTCCTTATATATTGATACAATATTGCTGTCAATGAATCATAACTTTTTCTATGTACAACAAAATTGAGCCAATTTTTAGGCCAAATACATACTATCTTACATGACCCTCTGAGTGTGATGTTTATAACAAATCCGTCCTGTATGTTTTTTTTAAACAATTTAGTACTTTTATTTTATAAACAGTTACGTCAATAACATTTTAAAATGTGATATGCATATATATTCCCAGTCAAAAAATAAAAAGTGATACAAAAAATGTAAAATCAAAAAATATATTCTCTTTAATTAGTACACATAAAAAATTAACATTCAGACAGAATTAGAATAAATGAAAAAATATTTTTAAATGCCAAAATAATCAAATTACTATATTTGAATAAAGAATTATTTTGAATAAAAATATTTCTTTTGACTAGATGAATAACGATATTTCAAGGAAAAAAACTTCTATAAAAAGTAATTTTGTAGAAAATAATAAAGGGATATTTCAAGGAAAGAAATGAGAGTGAATAGACAGTTTTAGGAATGAAATTGTAATTGTTGGTCAAATTTGCCAATAACTTTTATGAATTAGCAATTTTTTCTCAGAACTTATATTGTAACACGTCAATAAAAACGGTGTCTCTGTTAATTTTAACTGTTAAATAACATCATGTGGTATATTAGATGAAAATGTGGCAATATATGAGGACTCCACGACACTTAGGGATGAAATTATCAATTACACTTTTGTTTGGTAAAATTCTAAGAGTTTCTTTCTCAAATAAAGCCAGAGTAACTTCCAGTTTTTTACCATACAAAATCATAACATACAATTTCGTCCGGGAGACGTGACGTCAATGTAGAATACATATGGACTGTCAAATCATGTTGTGTAACGGGTAAACTTAGCAGAAGAACTATTTTGATGTTACAATTTCAAGGTCAAAATTGCTACTTGATAAGAGTTAGGAATGAATTCAACCGATGGTTACAATTTCAGGGATGCAATTGCCTATTTACTCAAACAAATGTAGAATAGGAAACACAAATACAGAACAGATAAACAAAACACGGAGAAATGGACATTTTCATCCCTCGAAGAGAAACATCATGTCGATAACTTAAAAAAATTAGGGGAAACTTCAATGATCATATACCTCTCTTATTGCATGTTTGCATTGACACAGTTTGACAAACTCACACTATATCAATGTGATTTTGATTATTGAATGGAGCTTCAATAAAATTCATCTTAATTTCGCCAAACTCACGGTTAATCTAATCCAAATATGCATTAAAATAAATATTTCAACTATCATCCTGCTAAACTCTTCAATGTTCAAACATAAATATCATCATTAATTCTATATCAATCTCAACCTAAGGTTCGATTTAATCGTCACTTAACAAATCCACGCGATGATTCCTTTTCATTTAACAATTTCCTATGTCACAATTTGTCAAACTTCCTAACAATAACACAAGGATTTAAAACTTTTAATTAATTAACATATAATACAATCAGAATTAGCCATGAACAAAATCACATTTCAACAAAAATATAACTAAACTGCTTCAAAATTGAGTCAAAAAATCAACGAATTCATCGTTCATCAACGGCAGAATTTCATATGAAAACATAAAACAGAATATATAGAATAAAAATGAAAACGAATTGAATGTGAGATTACCGTAATGAGACGATGTTCGGCGGCGAAACGACGGCGTTTATCCTGAAAGGGAAGTCAGAAAAGAGAAAGCGTGGAAACGGAAAGAGAGGAATCGAGGGTTTGGGGAAATGAGAGTCACCCTTGTTCTTCTCTCTCTCATTGAGAGATATCTACGGAAGGATAAATAAATATAAAGGATAACAACAAAAATATCTGATCAAGTCTATCTGTCACTGCCCTGTGGCCTGTAGGTGCTTGCTTCCTTGCTAAAAATATCAATTACTGTCACGTCTTCCCCACGCGTATTTTGTCATATCTTCATAGATATTTCCCATTTTCTGTTTTTAAAACTATATCTATTGATCAAGAAGAAAAAAAAAAAACTATATCTGTTGGCTGTCATCTACTCAATCTACTCTCCTAATTTTATTGCTTTTATTAGACTTAAATAACTTAATGCTTTCTTATCTCAAAAAAAAAAAAAAAAAATTAATGATCCCTTACATATATTAAAATTCGTTTTTAATCTCACTTTAAAAGTTTTATCTCATAACCCTTCGACTATTCGTCTACTTCTATATTATATTATTTTGATCAAAATATCTTCTTATAAATAAGTGTAAAATTTTTTTAATTTAATTATTTGATCTGGAATTTAATAAATAAATATATATTTAAAAACTACTTTATTAATATTTTCAGTAAATATGACAAGTATTATTTATACTATTATATAATTTTATAATGACTCCATTAAAAATTTCATACTAAAAATTTTTCTTTAATTATTTTATTTTTATAAAGAAACTTTATATAAAACAAAAGATGAGAGTATATACAAGGGTATAAGGTATCCCCACCCACAAAACAACAAAAAAAAAACCCACACTAATCTATAAGAAGGTTAGTTATATGATGTCTCATTCTAGTATTAACCCACTCTCTGTTTGCAAGGGTAAAGATTACTACATCTCTAATCTCAATGGTATTCATAGTATTGCCAAAGACGACGTTGTTACGATACTTCCAGACTTTGTAAATAGTCTCCGCTATGGAACTACGCAGGAGGCACTTCCTCCAGCCCTTTCCCTTACATTGTGTTATAATCCAATTAAGTTCTTCCTGCCAATCACAAGGGGTATGTTGAATCCCCATCCAACCCAGAATTTCCTGCCAACAGATTTTAAATGGCGGGCATTGGAATAAAAGATGGTCAATTGTTTCCTCTTTGTTGTCGAATTTACACCTGTCATACGTAGTAAAGCCAAGCTTTTTGAGACGCACCTTTGTCGCAAGTCTACGGTGGCATGTCATCCCCATAGTAAAAAGTGTTATCGATCTAGCAATAGTATTGGATAACATGTGCTTCCAACCAACATCTGGTTCATCCTTCTTGAGGTACTGATATACTTTACCCACAGAGTACTTCACCTTCATATCGTTCCAATCTTCCATGCCTATCATGATGTCTCTATGTCTAAGAATAGCTTTGAAAATCCATGACATACAATATTTTTTCTAGACCTGCATAATATCAGTATATTTGAAATAAAAGGAATGGATCCACTTCACCCAAAGGGAGTCCTTCTTATTACAAAGGTTCCAAAGCAACTTAGTTAAACAGGACGTGTTCCACTCGGACAAATCCAACACATTCAGCTCGCCCTTCCTCCGAGGCTTACAGACCGTCTTCCATGCAATTGGGGATTTTATTGACTTCGACTCGTTGCCTGTCCATAAAAACGTCCTGCAGATAGTGTTAATGGACTTTATCACATGCTTGGGGAAAAGGAGGCAGTTCATCCATCATTTTGTGTATTTTAAAATTATACATAAATTCAGTTGTTTACCTGACATTGGTCAAGTATTCTTATTTGTCTCTATTTATAAAGATAGATAAACTCAACTCAATCCTAAAAAAATATAAAAAGTAAAATTAAATCTGTTGTGAATCAGATACCTTGAGACAAAGTATAAACAGTTTTTTAATTATCAAGAAAGACACAAGGATTATGGTTAATAAATAAGACAAGGTAAAATAACAAGGAACAACAAGGATTGGTTATTAAACTGTTATTCCTTCCTTTCTCTTAGAACAAGATTACAAGTATACAAGAATAACAAAATAACCTCTCTCTCTCTCTTAAAATTAGGATTTTATCTTCCTATTTTTCCTTATGCCAAGATTGAGAAACTAACATCCTATTTATAAGAAAAATAGCACACTAACCTAATGGACTTTTTAACAATTACCCATTACAAGCTAACTTAGGGTACAAGTTAACTTAAACAATTGAGCTTACAAGCAAGACCCAATTCAACATGCTAACAACCCTAGCAATATTGACTAATGCATGTTAGAACAAACTTCGACTACAGCATGCATTACTCACAAACAGACTTCAACCATACTAGAGTTTGATCCAACATCTCACAAATCTCCACCTTGGATCTAACTCTATAACATCAAGAAAATAGCTTTCTTCATGCAGTTATATTAACTGCATACAGTGGAAAAACTTGCAACTGGGCAACGTCTTGGTGATCATATCAACAACATTATGATTTGTCAAAACCTTCAGCACTTGGACTTCTCTACGCTCGATTACCCCTCTGACGAAATACAGTCTCACATCAATGTGTTTGGTTCGCTCATGATAGGCCGAATTCTTCGACAGGTATATTACACTTTGACTATCACATTTAACAGTGATAACTCGACCTTGAAGTTTTACCTCCTTTGCAAAACCTTCAAGCCACAATGCTTCCTTCACAGCTTCAATTAGGGCAATATACTCCGCTTCAGTGGTTGATAAGGAAACGACCTTCTGAAGTGTTGCTTTCCAACTGATTGTTGTCCCAAACATAGTGAACACATATCCAGAGATAGATTTTCTGGAATCCATACAACCTGCATAATCAGAGTTGACATATCCTTCGATTGTTGCTTTACTATCTTCACCAGTGTTTTAAAAACCGGACCGGACTGGCGGTCGGACCGGGAACCGGCCTATTAACCGGTCTGGTTTACTAGTTCGATCGTCTGTGTCATCAAACCGGTAAAAATCGGGAAAAACCGAGTTGAGCCGGGAAAAACTGGGTTTAGGGTTGGACTGGTTCTAATGCATTTTTTATTTTCTAATTAAAATTTAAATGCAAAAGTTATAAAAATTAAAAAAAAATTGTTTTGATTGTTTTGAAAACACCACCACCAAGGAGATCCCAATATTGAAATAATTTTACCTCCTTGGAACTAAACTTAAGTAGACATTGGAGTTTTGTTATAAATTATTCAATTATATTATGTTGCAATTAGATTTTGTAATTTTGTATTATTTTGTTATGTGTGATACATTTGTTTAAAATTTGAATTTAAATTATGAACTTGTGAATTTATGATATGATATTTTCAAAAAATTTAAGTACTAGTTATATTTTTTTAGAAACTGAATCATTCGGTTCGACCGGTTTTATATCTATATAATGACAGGCCTATTCAACCGAGTTATACGGTTTAATCCGGTTTAGTCATGCGGTTCGACCAGTGACCCAGTGGTTCGACCGATAAACCAGTGACCCAATACCCTCACCGGTTCAATTACCGGTCCGGTTTTTAAAACATTGATCTTCACCCAAGGCTCCACCATAAATTAAGACTCTATTCAGGGACCCATTTATGTACCTTAAAATCCACTTCAATGCTTGCCAGTGAGCCTGTCCAGGATTCGCCATGTACCTGCTTATAAGACTTACTGCATATGTTATGTCGTGTCTAGTACAGACCATAACATACATCAAAGAACCTATTATGTTAGCATATGGAATGCTATTCATATAAGTTCTTTCAACATCAGTGCTGGGACACTGATCTATACTCAGCTTGAACTGAGGGTTTGTCGGAGTCACAACAGGCTTTGAATTCGACATACCAAACTTTTCGAGAACCTTACATACGTATGCCTCTTGAGATAAGCATAATTTTGACTGCTTTCTATCTCTCCGGATGTCAATCCCAAGAATCCTGGACGTAGCTCCTAGATCCTTTATGTCGAACTCTTTATTGAGTTCAGCCTTCACCCTCATTACATCTTTGACATTGTTGCTTGCTATTAGAATATCATCCATATAGAACAATAAAATAACAAATGAATTACCCGGTCAAAATTTAAAGTAAACACAGTGGTCGAACTGACTTCTGATGAAACTTATGCGTGCCATGAACTTGTCGAATCTCCTATTCCACTATCGAGGAGATTGTTTCAATCCATATATCTATTCAGCTTGCACACATAGTCTTCCTGCCCTTTTCACATCCATCTGTTCCAGTTCAAGGTCAAACTGTGCCACTGTGGCAAGCAACATTCGAATGGATATGTGCTTCACAACAGGAAAGAACACATCATTGAAGTTGATACCTTCTTTCTGAGTGAACCCCCTAGCAACCAATCTTGCCTTATATCTCTTCGACGTCACTCATTCGCTTCCTTCCTTAGCAACCAAGATTGAGAAACTAACATCCTATTTATAAGAAAAAATAGAAAGATAAAATCTTAATTTCAAGAGAGAGAGAGATATTATTTTGTTATTTTTGTATACTTGTAATCTTGTTCTAAGAGAAAGAAAAGAATAACAGTTAAATAACCAATCCTTGTTGTTTCTTGTTATTTTACCTTGTCTTCTTAATTAACTCTAACTCTTGTGTATTTCTTGATTATTAAAAAAAAATTTATACTTTATTTAAAGGTATCCGATTCACAACAAAATCCGATACTAAAAAATAAAATATTTAACAATTTTGAGGGGGAAAAGTAGAGTATAGATGTAAACAATTCCAAATTTTCTTAATTTTTAAATTAGAGATCAAAATTCTATAAAAGACAAGAGTCCTATATGCGTAGCGTAGGAGAAAACGTTCGTACTTGTGTACCTGGACTGGACACCACCACAAATTAGCACTGCAGACAAAGAGACAGGGTCGGTTTGTCATGGCAATGTGATGATATCATATAATCCATCATAAGTGCTAAAGAATAAAGATGAATGAATTCTAAAAGTAAGAAAAAGGAAGAGACAAGTTATGCTACGAAAATTTTCCCTTATTTTTCACCATGCATGCACAGCTATCACTTTCACAAAACATGGATGGAATATGTCAATTTCAGCTAAAGATTATAGACGACAAAACTAGGGGCAGCGGTGATAGTGATTACTGAATCAATTAGGACAGTTAATTAACAAAATAAAAGAATAAATGATTAATAATTTATTAACTAAAGTTACCGAAGCTTTCTATACACATGAATTTATTATTTTTAAAATTAATGTGAGTTTAAAAATCAAACTTATACCTATAAACTTATTATTTTTAGAATTAAATGTGAATTTAAACGTGAACGTGAATATTAACGTTTTCTAAAAATAGATTAAAATGTAAATTTAAACATATTTTGATAATAAATATAAATCATTTTTAAAAAAAATTAGAGAATTTAAGTCTAACCTATTTTTAAAGATAGACTTTATAAAATTTAAAATTTGAATATTTTACGAGAACAAGTTTGACCAAATAAAACTTTAAATAAATTAGATTATAGATTGTTGATGCACAAGTTTAAGATGAAGAAGATAATGGAAGAGAAAGAGAGAGAACTGAATTTATAATTAAATTTTAAAGAGAAATTGATTACACTATAATTCTGTTACAACTAATAACTCAACTTTAGCTTATACACACATTCAAGTTAAATGAAATTCAAATGTAAAATCAAATTAATCCTAACTAACTGAATTTGGATTATACTCTAACATATCCCTTAATTTATATTCAAAACTAAAATCAACAACTTCAATTTCATTCCTCAAATGGATAAAATGTTCAGTCTTTATTGATTTAGTCATCACATCTGCAAGTTGCTTATGAGTACTACAATGAACAACTTTAAACACTCCACTTTAAAACGCAATTTCGCAAAAAATGAAACTTCGATCAATGTGCTTGCTTCTCCCATGCAACATTGGATTCTTGGCAAGACTTATACCTGATTTGTTGTCAATCATTAACTTCATGGGTTTACTCACCTTGATCTTCAGATCCTGTAACAAGTTTAGAATTCAAACAGCTTCAAACGCTCAACATTAAAATCCAACTTGTGATTTCTTTCAGCAGGTGTGATTGTAGACTTGCAATTTATTAACTCAAATTTCTTCAAACGCTCAAGTTCATATTTCAGCTGATGTAAAATTATACCCTTATCAGAGTACAAAATCTCCATCCCTAAAAAATATCTCATATTTCCTAGATCATTCATCTCAAACTCATTTATCAACACCTTCTTGAACTTAGATATCTCATTTGAACAACTCCAGTTAGCAATATATCATCAACACAGAGACACACCAGAATCATATTGCTATTAGATGTATGTTGAACATAAACACCATACTCCATCTCACATTTTATGAAACCTTGAAGCTTGAAGAATGAATCAATTTTCAAATTCCATGCT